CTGGGAGGGGAATAGCAACCTCCTCTTCCTCTTCCTCCTCCTCCTCCGCAGCCACCGTGTCCATGTTGGGCGCGGGCACAAGGGGCAACTCCGCAGCCCCTGGCACTGTAGTGATGGCGCTTAACGTCTTTTGCGGGTCAGGTGGCGCCTCGCCCTGCTCCGCTTTTGTGTCCGTGTCCACGGGAGGCTCCATTGGCACCAGCGTCACAGGTGAGAGCACCACGGGCTCCACCTCAGGGATCAGGGGAGGGGGAGGCGACGGGGATGCCGATTTGCTGGGCTCCAGGGAGACGGGCTTGCTCACCACCAGCGCAGGCTTCGGGCGGTCATCTGCAAAGTGGATGGCATTAATGGATGGCTCTCTGATCCCCTGCTCATCCCACATTCTTCCCCAGATCCCTCTATCTTCAGGAGAGAGAGGGACAGATTTGCCAAGCCACATCACAAATGGGTGATGGGGACAACAGGGCCCAGGGGACAGATGAGGTGAGTATGCAGCCCCCATAAACATTACTAGATCCATGAAGGGGACACAGGTCACCAGATATACAAGGATGGCCTCTGACCACACAAGCCTCAGGAGAGCCAAGAAACAGTGGAGCTGGCATTTCAGATGCTGCAGTGCCAATACCAGGGAACCTTGCTGCAGCCATAGCAGCTGTCACACCCAGCCCTGGCAGGGGCACTTACCAGGCCGGACAATAACTGCTACATGGGAGGTCTCTCCATTGGCCTGGGGCTCCAAACCGCTTCCAGCCTGAGGGGGAAAAGAGAGAGTTAAACAGGGCCATGTACACTTCCCTCTGCACCAGCTGGGAAGTCAGAGGGTCCACTTACCTGTGGAGGGGTGGGGGTGGATGAGGTCCTTGCTCCAGACATAATTTCTTCTGTAATGTCTTTGCCGCCTTGGTTGGGGTCTCGTATTCGGATCTGTCCAAGAATCAGAGCAGAGTGGGGAAGCTGTTGGCAGGGTGCAGGACACAACACATGGGCCACCCTCTTTTCCTAAGCCAAACACCCCCAGGACACCCTCCTCCAAAGGGAAAAGGGAGGTTCATTCACTGCAGTGCCTGTCCCGGCCACACACAGTTTGCGGACCAGTGGGTGCCACGTCCTCTCCCCACAGGGCATGATGTCCCACAGACACTGGCCACTTCCAGTGCCTTTCAAGCCATCTCAACAGGCAGCTGGAGCCAGCAGGTCCCCAGGCCAGTGCCCATCTCCAGAAGTCAGGGGACCCCAAGGCATCACTGTGCTGGCACAGGGGCTGCAAGGACCACCCCCCTCATTTTGGGGACAATACAGGGGACTAGCCTCAGCATACAGAAACTGCAGTGAGCTCTATGTACACCCTATATGCCCACAGCCTCACCTGCACCATGTCTACCATGGGCGCAGCAGAAGCTACAGGGCACCCCGCTGTGGGGTGACCAGAGGGGTACATGTGGGTATGGCTGGAACTACAGTGCAGGGCAAAGTGCAGCCAGGAGTCTTGTCCTCTCTGCCTTCTGCTCCCAGAACACCAAGTGCAGAGCTCAAACCCATCACCGATGAGGAAATGCCGGCACCCCACTTCCCAGTGGCAACCCCTGCCCCCCGGCACGGGGCCATGCCGGCAGCCACCCGGTTCCCTGCTATAAATAGGCCCCATGCGAGGCCTCTGAGCACCGGCATCTCCAGGAGCAGACAGCAGTTGGCAGCCGCGGCACCCCCGCCCTCCCGGGAGCCATGACTCAGCACAATGCTGCCCGCCGGGACGGCCAAGGTCGCCAGCACCCACCATGCACCCCAGTTCCCTTGCTAAGCTGTCCAGCCTATGGGGACACAGCCCTGTGCCTTTTCCCTGGCATGCTGCACCACAACCCATCCCACACACCGGCAGCACCTGGGGCTGACACCATCCCCCTCCTGAAAACGAGCACACCCTCCTGCACATGAGTACCCCCATGCCTGGAGGCAGATGGTTCCTTACCGTCTTGCGTTCTCGTTTGGGGGGGATCGGTGGTTGCTGGCTCACAATGACCTGGGCAGCAGGGACCCCTGCTGAGAACTGCTGCACCCCCTGTGCTGGGTAATATGCACCCGCTGAAGGAGAGGAGAGAGCGTCAGACCAGCCAATACAGATCCTCCAAGCCCGTCCTGAAGCCTCCCTGATCTCCCAAACACAGGGGTCTGTCAGGAGCCCGGAGAGCCCTTGCTGCTCTGCAGCGAACCCCCATCGCATCCGGCCTGGATTGTCCCAACCCGCCTGACAGGCCTGACCGAATTCCTTCCCTGTGAAGCAGAGAGCGTCCCCGCACCACCCCCACGCCCAGCCAGGCCCTGCAGGCATCCACCGTGCCCACCAGCTCCACACCACCAAGAGCCCTGCCTGGACATTCGGCCATGTCAGGTACAGGCGTCCTGGCTCTGCAGGCGGCCGCCTTCCTGCCTGCGCCCTTATCTCCCCAGGGCCAACACCAGCCCAAGGGCGGCACCAGGAAGCCTCCATTCACACCCAGGCTGAGGGGCTCAGGCTTCCCGTGCAGCCCAAGCCCCTGGCAAGCCCAGCCCAGAGGAAGGAGCTGTGCTGAGGGCCAGAGGCAGAGCTGGACCCCATCCAGGGCTGGCACAGCCCTCTAGAGGTGCTCCATTCCTCCCAGGGCATCTGTGAGCATCACCCCAGAGCAGTGCCACAGGGATACGGGTGTTGGGACAGGCACAGCTGGGTCTGCTGCACTGACCCTGGAAGTCAACCAAGGTGCTCTGGTGACTGCCTCATCCCTGAGTCAGGGACCCTCCCTTTGCTCAGGGGACACACAGGGACGCTGAACGGGCGTCACACATCAGGACGGGCTGGGCATGGGGGGAAGGAAGGAGACCCTGAGCTGCCTAGCCCTGAGGACCAGACAGGAGACCCAATCTGATTCATTTGTCAAGAGGCACACCATGCTGGGTCACCACACCAGCCCTGTGGGCAAGAGGTGAGCTGCTGCCAGCTTCCCCAGGAAGAGCCACAGCAGCCCCAAAGCAGAGGCTGGTGGCATACCCATCCTGGAACCTCAAAGAGATACCCAGAGCATGTCCCAGGGCTGTGCCCAAAGGTGCAGCAGTGTCCTGGCACAAGCACAGGAGACAGCCACTGCCAGGGGCCACCTCCCTCCTCAGAGGAGCTGGCTGGGCCCTTAGACAAGAGGGAGGGAGGCCGGGCACGTACCTGGCTCAGGAGAAGCCCATCTCTGCCCCGGTTATGCTTTGCTGCTGTGCTGGGGCCAGGCCGGAGGCCTCGGCTCACATTTCTGTGTCTGCTGGGCCTCCCGGGACCAACCAAGCCTAAATATAGTCACAGCCCGGGTGGCCACATGCGAGGAGGGGGAAGGAGGAGGGGCTGCTCACATCACACTCCCAAGCACCGGGAGGGGGCAGGCTTAGAGTACCCCAGCTCAGCTCCTGAGGAGCAGGAGCTGAGGGGGGTCAGCAAGCACCAAATTGCTCCACCTTGACAGCAAGTGGGGGGGAGCAGGGGATAAAGTCTGCCCCAGCCCTCCGCCAGCAGAGTTAAATATTAAACAGCCCCAATTTGGAAAAGGACAGGGATGAGTGGACTGTGAATGGACCAGTGGGACTTGACCAGCTTGCTGCCGGGCAACAAGCAACTGTCCCCCAAAACAGCCTGCAATGGAGTCACAGAGTCAGCCACAGTGAGCAGTGTTCGGCTCAGTGGGATACACAGAGGCCAGAAGCAGGGGAGCAAAAAAACAGGGAAGTGCTGGGACTGAAAGAACACCAGGGAGTGGAGCAATCCCACTGTCTGTACCGTAAGTCCCGAACTCTGTGGGGCTGGCTCCAGGGTAAAAACTAGGGGCGCCAGGTTGGACCGGGTACTGTTGGGTCGGGACAACGTACGTGGAGCGACCCTGCAATGGGAGAGAAGAAGAAAAGTCAGTTATGTCCCCTGCAGGGCACGGATATACCCCCAAAACACTGATGTAACCCCAAACCTGCCTGTAAACTAGTTGTACACCGGGGCAGTGAGCGGGATACAGGCAGAGTAGACACCAGGTGACTCAGGGAACTGTTGGGGAGGGGACCAGTACTGCCTGCTGCCTCTCTACAGAGCCAGAAGCACCCTGCTCCAATCAGTTGGTGCTCAGAATCTCGAGATCCCTTTCACCCTCCCAAAACAGACCTGGGCTCCAATCCCAGACAACACCTTCCACCGGTGCCCATCCCAACCCCCTCCCATAGAGCCTGAAGCATAGCCCTCACCTGTCCAGGAATGTAATAGGCTCCTTGGGAAGGTGTGTAGGATATCTGGGAGGGTATCATCATCACCTGGGAAGCAGCTGGATACACATGGGCAGGAGGGCCGGGCCGAGCCGTCGTGTTACTCTGCACGCGGGACGCACTGGCAGGAGGCTGTGCCCTGTTCTGGTAGAAATGCTTGGGGAGAGATGGGGCACAGCATCAGCAGGAGCTCCAGTACCTTAATCTGCCACTACTGCACACGGGAGGAGACACCAGCCCCCCCACTCTACCGGGATGCAGCACCGCCTCGGCAGCCCCCAAGGCCACCCCCCACCCCGGCACCATCCTGTCCTCACGCACCTGCGGGGCTGCCTGGGTCCACCCGACCCAGCT